AAAATATGTGAGCATTATATTTTAATTTATTTTTAGCAATAAATATAAATTTAGGCTTGAAACACCTCTGTGCTCATTGCTTTACATTCAATTTGTATAATTACATACGCACAAAGCCGGAAGATATATTTCTCAACCAGGTCTGTGTGTATCAGCAATAAATATAATCAATATATTATAAAAGGCGTTTTATATAAATTACATAGGTACATATAAAACGACCAGTCCGGCAAACCTATTAGATACTACCATAATACACATGGTGTAATTTTCCGTTATTAAATCATTTATAGATTTAGATAATCGGTAAAGCACGTTTGCAGAATATGTACATAGAAAGTTTATAAAAGGTGTACAGGGTGGCTGATATGTATTGCAACCAATTTCAGACCGCTATCATTTCTAAACCGCTCATCAGACAGATGACAGATTTATTCCAGTGATTGTTCATTTAGTTGTTTACAAGCGTACAAAAGCATTTTGTTCTATTGCATTCAGAAAAAAAGTTATTTGTGGTGGAAGTCAAGCGTGATAGTGCGATTGCTTCATATTTGGCTGGAAAACCTTAAGTGGCTATATTTAGAGACCTCCAGCATTTAAGTGCGAACAAATATTTTGTTTCTCGTATCATATCTCGTAACCGTGATGCACTCAGTATTGCACCGCATCTAAAAAGTGGACGAAAAAAAACACTAACAACCCCAGAAATAATCCAAAAAGTATAGGCAAAAATCGATCGAAATTCGTGTCGCAATGGTAAAAAAATGGCACGTGAGCTGAACGTATCGTAAAAACGGATGCAACACATATTGAAAAATGAGCTTGGACTAAAGCCATTGAAGTTCCAAAAAGTGCAAGGGCTGATCGATGCACAAAAAAAAGCTAGACGAGAAGGAACCAAAGGGTTGCTTCGCTTGCACGAAAGTGGCTAGTTACCGAATTTGGTTTTCTCAGATGGGAAGTCATTCCAAATCGAGCAGTTTATGAACAAACAAAATGATAGGGTTTACTTGCCAAAAAGGTCAGCTAAAAATTTACACTTTCGATTGGCCGCCAGAACTCAAGCGCTGCCGACGGTAATGGTGTGAACCACCGTAACAGCCGATGGTGACATTCCGCTCTTATTCATCGACCATGGGATCAAAATAATTGCCGAAATTATCGGGAAAATGTCTTAAAGGCAGTATTGAAGTCCTGGGTAGACAAAAATTTCGGCCGCAGACCATGGACATTCCAACAGGACTCAGCACCATCAAACTCAGCACGCGTCTACCGAAAATGGCTTAAAAAAGAGGTTTTTCGCTTCATTTCTATCGCACAATAGCCACCAAAATCTCTGGATCTAAATTCGTTGAACTTTTGCGCCTTGGACATTTTGAAGAATAAGGTTCGCACTAAAAAATACCAAAATATCGATCATCTCAAGAAGGCGCCTCGCCGGGAATGGGCCAAAATACCCCAGAGCCACTTTCGTGCAGCGTGTTATGGTTTTTCTGCCGTTGGAAGGCCATAATTCGTGCCAAAGGTGGTCAATTAAAACAAATCTAAACTGATTCTAAAATTTGATGTTATTTCCGACATTTTTGCTTTTAAACAATGAAATTTAAAATGAAAACGACAAAGTTATTGCACTTTACTTTGTTGCATTACATATCAGCCACCCTGTATATGTATATAATTAAACATTTTTTAACTATCATCAATCTTCTGAAATAGTTTATGATGAAATATTTCTCCTTAGGTCTTTTTCCTAAGGTCACATAATCACGCCTTTAGGAACGCCTAGTTTCAAAGTTCTGAAACCCAGAAATCAGTTGAAATGCAGGAGATACAGAAACTGAAATCTTATAATTTCATGACTTATGATCCAACATATATTTTCAATGATATCAAATCTAAACATTAGGTGAAATCAGAAGTATAAATCGGGTTGAAAGAGGCTTAAAGATCCGCGGGTAAAATACTGATATCTCAAGAACAGGTGAGGTTAAGAATTTTTTAACAACAATATTTGAAAGTAGCGGATGAAAGATATATAACCAACCGCCACCTTGATTCTCATGATGTCTTAATCGGGAGATGAACGGCAATGTTTGAAAATCAAAAACAGGAGTATTTTTTTGGTTGTGAGTACTGTTGTTCAGTTTACGAGACCTTAATATAATTTTCTCTGTGGAAAATGTACCCAAGAACTTTATATTTTGCATTGGTTGAATAATTTTACTGAACATTTTTTTTGTCTATAAAAACTTTATTATAGTAATTTTACTGAACATAATTTGGTTGTTTGATACTTGTTATGTGTGTATTTGGCTTAGACAGTATAATTACTGAAAGTTAACTCTTTGGGGACGGCTGTCCACCTGAGTGGACAAACATACTTTGTGAGGCACAGGCTATTTTGTAAACAATAACTCAATTTGCTTCGAAAAGTTTAATAAATTACATATAGCAGTGATAAACAGTGTTGTATTTTGAAAATAATTTTAATTTATTTCAGTAGTATTTTTAGCCTTTTTTTCTTTACTATATGGTCTTTTTTTATATATTTAAAACGACCGAGCGCTTTTAAATATGGCAAAACGACTGGTAAATTTTGTGAATTAAGCAGTAGTGAAGACGAGTTTCAAATAGACATTCATACAGACAAATTTTACGAAATTACTATTCGCACCGAAGATAGTGATGATGATATTATCCAACCAACAAAGAGAAGAAAAAGTTCGACAAATTAAATGAAGAGCGGAAAGACATTATAGAATGAGCTGATTCTCCTCCAATAATCAAGTTTGACATACATCAACAAACACCGCGAATACAAATACCAATTTATAATTTACAAATGAATTATTAGACAATATAAGAGAAAAAACAAACCATTATGGCAGCACAAAAATGAACAAATATACTGACCAATCAGTGGCATATTCTAAATGCGAGAGAAAGAAAAAGGGATTGTATTGTCTGTTCTGACAGAAAAGACTTAGGAGGAAGGCGGCGAACAACATTTTATTGTAAAACATGTCAAAATTAACGAGCTATGCATTTTGGAAATTGTTTTGAACATCACCATTCTTTATAAAATGATCAAAACTAAATTAATATTATAAATGTATGTCCTTCAATGACCACAAATTTTTATAAAACAAATTGCATAACACACACAATAAATCAAGTTTACAGCCGGTACAGTAGATTGTTTTGAAATCGGTGCCGTCCCGTAAGTGTTAATATGGACTTTTGTGCCCCGCCCTACCCTATACTAAACATTGACACTTAACTAAAATTAAAATGTTTTATATGATATGGTGTTCGTTTCCCTCATAAACAAATAATATCCACAATCCATAAAAATAAATTCATGCATCGCTTAGTATGACAACACGGCCAATTGTAGTTTAAATCCGTCAACGCGAACCAAAAATTAGCATAAAGATCAGCATTGTCGCTTTTGTAAGGGAAATTAACACGACAATTTCATTTCCGCGTCTCTTAAAACCTTCGCAGGAAACTAACGCACTTGCGAGGGGAATACGAATTAGGTTGAGTTCACATCGCCCGTCGGAATAATAGACTCCGTTCGAAGATTTTAGAAATGAACATAGAGAAAATAGTTACTTAAAGATAGATAATTATAAGCAAATATACAACATAAATGAATTTTCTTATACAACATTATTTATTATTTTTGCACCCAACTGGTTGGAAACCACTGCATTAACTAGTGGTTAGGCAAATTGTTAGAACTTCCGGTACCATAACTTCAAGCCTTTAATTTTTTTTAAAAACAGTGAAAAAATTTTACGAATTTTGAATTTTTTTAAAAAAGGCCTAAAGTTTTTTTTGTATTTTTTTTAATTTTAGATATTTTTTTCTAAGCAATCGTGCTGTGTAGCTGTTTTAGCCTGAAGGTTAAACATTATAAATCTCGGTACGAAACCCATCAAAGTGTAAACAAAATTTGTTGTGATTATTTAAATCTATAAAAAAATATCTGATAATTTGTTGTGCATATGTCTAATGATCATTTTTGACCATTTTTGTATTGGATCTCCAACACCGCTAGTGCTGCCTTCCTAGAAGTTTGTCAATAGAAGTAAAATGTTTTTTAAATTATTAAAATCGGGCGTCTAGTTTTCTCAGAAACAGAATTACCAATAATGGTACTTTTGGCAATTTTTAGCTGGATTTGTCTTGGCCAAAAACTAATCAGCACGACTACCCATCAATAAAAATCGAATGTTTTTTGAATCATTTAAATCAGTTGATCCGTGCTCCCCAAATCGTCGACAAAATATTGTAACCGCACACGCATAATATGTGTGATGTATATTATATATCAATTTTTGTAAGGTATGTCAAAATGTTTAGAAACCTTTGAAATGTTAAAATATATAAAAAATTTCATTTTCATAATACCAAGTTTAAATTGGCATTAGTTAAGGGTCTTATAATAGGTCTCTTACAAAAAGTCTTAAGTTTAGGATCCTCAGAATTTACACAAATATCTAGATTGGATTATATAAAAATTTTCGATTCTTAAAATTATCTATCCGAAAGAGACTTTTAAAATTTTCTGGACATTTTTCAAATTTTTAAAAATATACAACTGTAGCTCACAATAATTATAATAACTAGTGGTGAACGGCATCGTGCCTTAAGGCAAATTGCTGGAACTTTAGTCAGAATTAAATTTAAAATATGAATTATTAGTGATATACAAAAAAAATGGAAAAAAATATTCTTTTTAAAAAAAACATTGAAACAAAAAATTTTTTTTTCTAAAAGCAATTATTTTGTTAAAACAAGCAGAAAGTTCTTTGAGTAATTTGAATTCGATCGCCAAATTTTCTCAAACATTTCCATTTTTTGCACATTTAGCTCTGTATCTTCGAAATGGCTGAACCTGCCTTTGCCAAAAACTAATCACCTGTACTCCGAAATCATTACAAATTGAATGTTTTTTAGAACATTCAAAACGGATACTCCGTTATCTCAAAAACTCGATTTGTATTTTCTGCACTTTTTGCTACGTATCTCCGTAACGGCTGGACCTGCCTTTGCCAAAAACTAATCAACACATCTCCCTCTCAATTGAAA